CATAATTAAATTTATGTTTGGAAGTGAAGAAAGTGTTGTCTGCCAGACAAAAGAGATGAAAGCTAATCTTGGTAGCAGCAAAAATAATTACAATAAATAGACATATTCTACATGTTGAGTCACTGGTGAGTACAATCCCACAAATGAGCTCTTCCTGTAAGTCTGCTAACTGCTGGGTATTAAGTACTACTGTTTATCTACATGCAAGTCCCACAGTCTGGTTTAGTGATTTATTTCTGTCAGAAAAGTTTCAAATAGCTTCCAGTCAAAAGCAGATTACCCACAACTACGCAATTTAATATGTTACAGTAGATATTGCAATGTATCTTCTTTGTATGCCATGTAATGTACTACTAGTGTCAGAGTTGTGATATTGCTGCTTAGTTGTATGTAATTGTTTGGATTATAAACCCATAAAATGTGGGTGTAGAAATATTTTGGGGCTCACTAATATACAAGCTGTAAGTATTTCAGATGTTTGTTTCATAATGCTGTGTGTATGAACAATATTAAAAGGATTTGATTTATGAAAGAAGCTTAATATATTGTAAGCATAACTCAATGGGCTTAATTTTAAAAGCATCAAGTGGTGTTATCTACCTGATGATGCCCACAAATCTTAATTCTTAAATTAACATACTCTTAGCTTAGTTTATCTGCACCCATGATGCTAGAGCTACATTTCAGAATTTGACATATTATTCTTGAGTTCTGATAAGGAATTGATTAAATTATCGGAGAGGGATTTTTACATCTGAAAAGCAATCTCATATGTATTGAATGACTTCCAACATGGTTAATTGAATAGCTTAATGGACAAACATCTATGTGGCGATGAAGGTTTATTATATCATCAATCCTTTATCCCACTTCTAGGTTTTAAAATTTTTAATGTGGCAGATCTGCTATTCAATGTACTGCCCTTCTTCTACTCTTTTGAAACTCTAATATAAAATAAGTGCCTTGGAACAAAAACTTTGGGGATTTACAGTGATGGAGAGCTGTTCAGCAACAGTCTGATCTTGGCAACATCTAACTGTAAAAGCAATTAGCAAATTTGAGTCACTTTCTGTGTCATGATATGTAAGATCTGGAGTCAATCTATATATTCTGAATCTGTTCTGTAATCAACTGTGTCTTCTGCTACAACACTGTAATTCTGATGATACCATTCATGCTAACGAGGAACATCAGCTCTCTTATAAACTGGTGCTTTTTGGAAGCAAAATTCACTACAAAACTGTGGGCATTCATAAGATACTAAATTTGTCTGGTGTCCATGTTAAGTGTTACACTGCAAAATCTTCAGCCCTTCATATATAAGCAGGTAGAGTTATACGTATGCAGTGTCAACTCAAGGAACAGTTTACCCCAGCACATAACAACCCCACCACTTACTACTTAAATAAACAAGGACTTCAGGGATTCATACCACTCTTGATTGAAACAGTATTGAGGACTGGAAGCTGCTTGATATCTCTTAGAACTTTTGTAATTGCAAAATTACTCTCATCTGTTAATAAGTTTGAATAAAAAGTGTTTGGGGCTGCTAGGGTTTGAGTTCAAAGGATAACTGTGGTTTGCCAAGGCAAGAAGTAGGTAATTAAAGCAATGTTTAGAGACACACTGAGAGCTTCAAAATGAGACAACTTTAAGGCTAATGTTTTCTAGACTGGGGAGGAAAGAAAGTGAAAATAACTCCAGAATGCATTAATGTGCTTCTCATTGAATTTTGTTCCTGAGACTTTTATAGTAACTGCAGTTATTATCAAAGTCAATAAGTCAAATTCTGACATTTTCAGTGTATTATGTGGCTGTGAGTTGTCACACCAAACTTGCTCAATTCACAAGCCAAAACAAGACTTTATTTATTATCAGAAAACTGATTGTAAGTCAAATTCTGACATTTTCAGTGTATTATGTGGCTGTGAGTTGTCACACCAAACTTGCTCAATTCACAAGCCAAAACAAGACTTTATTATAAGGCTAACAGTGCAACCACAGTCTATTGTCTGAAAGCTGGCCAGTGCTATTACTTCACACACCACCACCAAGAGAGATGGCTTTGGACCAAGGGCTTCTATTACAGTTCTCTTGGTGAACTACGAAGTACGGCAGAATTTGCTTTGTAGTTCTGCAGTATAATTTGAGTCATTGGTGTTAATGGTAATGGCTAGTTTTGGCTGAGAGTTTGAGAGATGTGACTTCAAAGACATATGCTGCAGAAGTAGACATGTGAAGTAACCAGGTGCCATTTCTGTAGGGAATTTTTAACCTTAAATGTATATTAAGGTTTATATATTAGGTTTATCATTCAGTGAATATTCAGTATTGCAGGTAGATTTTGAGATGTTTTCATGCCACGTAAAGGCTTAAATGTTTTCTAATAAATTAGGTTTTGTTTACAGCTCTGGTGTCCTGAACTACTGCAGAGGACATAAGCCCACTATGAAAAATATTTTGGTTATAGTAGGAGGTCTGCTAGGAAATACTGTTTCAGTTATTTGGAGATGGATGCTACTGATGTCAGCCTGAGGTGGGTTTTTGTTTTTTTTTTTAGCTTCCAGTATTTAGTTGGAGAGCAAAATTTCCCATCTTTGAAGTAGTTGATCCTGCATTATGGTTGATTTGAATGTTCAGAGAGACACTCAGTTATACAGCTAATATCCAAACAAATCTTCGTTTCTTTTAAATTCTTCAGGACAGGAAAATTTCCATTCAAACTGTTTTCTTATGCAGTTGACATTGTTAAAGGTCGAGTAGAAACATCCTCGTGCATTATTTTCACGAATGATTCAGGGATGTAGTTGGAGGTCAGGGCTGACCCAACCCAGTGTATTGCCTTTGCCATCAGGTGTGGCACCATCTGCCTGTCCCTCCTTCGAATCACCCCGTTCCTATCCCAAGCCATGCCTTACTCAGACTGGGACGTGCCCTCCCCTCTGACGACTCCTGTGCTCATCCTACTGCACAGGAAACCGGAGCGGCTGAAACACATTTGCCTTTTTCGCTGGGCAAGTTTCCTGTGCGGAGCCAGCTCCCGGTGTGCTCAGGGAAGCGCTGAAGCCCAGCGGAGCCGGCAGCGGCAGGCCCCGCGCCTGGGAAGGAAAGGAGGTGAGGAAGAGGCTGACCTTCCTATTTTAGCTGCGGCCAATTTGGAACTGACTGAGCTGTGTCATGTCTCTGCACCTTACGGAAAGATCCATTTAATTTGGGGTTATTTTCGTGGTGTAAAATGACATAAACTTTTAAGAAAACAACAGACTTAATGCCTGAGTTTCTGCAGTTACTGTGCTGGGCCAGAGTTGGAGTAACCCCATGGACCATAGGATGGTTATTCCACATTCAGAACTGTGCCAATTGGTGACACCTGCCAAACTGATTTATGAAAGCTTTACGGTAAAGCCCAGTTTTGGACTAGCTTTAGTTAGCATTAGCTGCAGAGTTACTTCTGTTTGGTGTGGTGTTTTTTTGAGGGTTTTTTTGTTGTTGTTGTTGGGGTTTTTTGTTTGTTTTTTGGGGTTTTTTTAAATTGGCTTTGGAGAGATATTATTATCATTTCCTAAAAATGTAGTATACCCTTGAAAACAACCCTTTGAAAAGACTTTTCAAAAGATGTGTTTACTAATGGTTTGGAGTTTATTGTCCTTAAAAAGCACATATCTAAAGATTTTGCAGGTGTTTATGAGTTTATAAATACTGCCTGTGGAACAACAGAGCCTGTGTGAGCTCATAATAGAAGACCCTCCTCCTAGGCAAGAGAAGACATTGCCAAGGATCTAGTAGCTTTTATTCAAGGAATGAATTTACCTCTCATGTTTTGATAGTTGAAAACTGTTGATATGAGGTGTTGAAAAATGTGTAAACATTCAAATAAAATTAACTGCATAGACTTGATATACTGCATGCATATGTTTTTTTGTGTTGTATATTTCTCTTTATGTTCTCCAATAAAAATTTGTATTTATAATATATTATTAATATATATATTTTTTTTATATATATTTTTTTTAGTTTTGTGGACCTAATTGTCTTGAAAAAATCTGTCAACCTAAAAAATATATTTTAAGATCAAGTTTGTTGAAGGCACTTGACATCAGACACCTCTCTATTTTTCTAATTTTTCTTTTTTCATTGCAGCATATTTATAGCCAAAGTTGTTAGTTAAAGGATTTTGCATTTCTAGCTGAATATTTACTTCATTGCTCCTGGGAGGGCTGAGGGAACCACCTGGGGATGGTGACTCAGGAGAACCTTTTGGTGCACTCTGGCTCTCTAATCTGTTAGAAATAGATATATGAAAGTAGTTAAATTAGTTCTGTGATTACCCATTTTAGAGGCAGAAGTTTTGTCCTTTTATTTATCTACATTTAAGCTACGTGTTCTTCTCTTTTCTAAAGCTCTCTGTGATAACTAGATTTCTTCTAAACCTCCAACAGAAGTCAGCAGTGTCCTAAGCAAGCACTCTTCAGAGTAGCATAAACATGAAATAAATTAAAATTCTTTAGCATAAGATTTGAAGGAAAAAGAGAATAAACCTCTGCTGTGACATCATTTTCACAGAATTCTATATCATCCCAAGGAAATACCTTCACTAACACATTTGTTGGAGGTTTTTGCTAGCCTTTTTTAGTTAACTTGGTCATCCACATCTCGACTTATACTCAGTGTCTAATCTTCTGTGGATGCTTTCCTTGTTGCTTGTTTGTAGCATATAAAATCCAGTTTTATGTTAAGTAGGTGGGTTGCTGTTTGCCCGCATGCCATTCTGGATTGGGCATTTATGAATTGTTTTTAAGCACCAAAGTGGACAATGAAAGCTTTATATCAATTCCCCAATTAGCAGTAATCATTCTTGTTAAACTTTGGTAAAGAGCTGTAGTATGCGATGAATGTAAAGTATTCATTCCTGGGCTGTTTCTTTTTTTTTTTTCCCCCCCTGCATTTCTACATTTTGTCAAATAGTCTTACGCTGCTTGTTATTTCTGTTCATATTGCAGATTGAGAATGTTGATGTCTGCCTTAGCTTTCTGGCAGCCAGAGGCGTAAATGTCCAAGGTCTTTCTGCAGAAGGTAAGAGAAACAAATCATCAGAACCAATAATGGGATTTAAAAAAACCCCAAAACTAATTTTCTTAATACAAATTATTTGCACCTAAATACCAAGCTCCAGATGTTTTGAACAGCATGCAAATATAGATTAGTGATAGAGTGAAAATTTCCTTTTAATTTTCCCATGAAATTGAACCAAGAAATTTAATATATTTATGAAGCCTGAGACAATGTTTTAAAATAATATTTTTTCAGTAGTAGTAATCTTTTCATGTTACCTTATTTTAGGTAAGTACATGGTTTCTCAAGTGTACTTTTAAGCTTGTTTATATAATAGATTAAAAAACCAAAAATGAATATGATAATCTTACTCAGTTAACTAAACCCAGAGAAGACTATTTGTTTAAGCAAATTCACTATTAGTAGTAATGCTGTCAGGATGAGTCTGAAAATTATTGTATTCTATTCATGTCATGTATTAAGTGAAAGAGAAAAAAAAGCTTACATTATAGCTTTTTTTGCTGTACTAGTCAGCTCGATCGATTGCATAATATGGTTACAACTAAGTTAATAAAGATATTAATTCAAAGCAACTAAAATACCAACTGTTTTAATTAGCAAGTAATATTTGTCTTATTAATGTAAAATTAAGTCAGGTAGGTACTTTATCTTGTAAGTTAATAAAATGTACACAAGCATTTGTCCTAAAACAAATTAAGCAGTTCTGCAAGGTGCTGTGCACCTTAAAAATCCCTCTGGTTCCCATAGTCAATAGATATTAACAAGACACAACCCACCGTTTTTATTTCCCTTGTATGACAACTAAAAGGTATAAGGAAAAATAATTTGGATTTCAGGGATGGTAATTCTAGTTGAATTTTAGAAGATACCCAGTGAAAAAAAAAAATTAAGTGCTAACCACTGGTGGGTTTTTTTGTTGTCTTTGTTTGTTTGTTTTTTAAATGAACTCTTTTGTTGTTGTTTTTTTCCCTGTACCTTAACAGAAGTGTAACATGGGCTGGATATGTACTATCTACTGATTGTCTACTTATGGAAAGCTCCTTAACTCATTAAAAAAATCTTCTGTATATACCGTATATATGTTGAGGCATGAGCATGCTGAACATTTACATATTACCGTTCATGTCAAAGCGGTTTAGAACTTGAATTTTTTAGTGCAGCCTATTTTCACTTGCATATGTAATAACATTCAAATGTGTGAATAGCATAAATTTATTTCATGAGAATACTCTTCATTGTTTTATACAGCAACACAGTGTATGACATTTTTCTGTACTTTGTTAAATCAAAATCTGAGTGCATTCTATGATGCATTCCTTTATTCTTACCTTTGTTTTGCTTCAGAAAATCAGTTTTGGTAGGATATAAACTTCAGTCATGTAACATTAAGTTTAAATTCTACAATATTACACAAGCAATAATACTATATAGTGTTAAATACAAGGACTATTTCTTAAAAGTTTAGCTAATCTTTAAAATAGAATTTTAATAAGGCAGACCTTGGTTCTGAAGTAAGATGAAAACTAATTTTGCGGTTTTGCAGTTGGTCATGAATCTGGAGTAAATCTACTAATGTCTTTGTATTATATTAGTTCAAAGCATCACAGAAGTGTGATTCCCTTAAATACATCTATTTTAGCATGTATAATCCTGAATATTACAATTTCTCTTGAGGAGAAGACATTGAGAAGACATATGCTTTTTTTATCATGAAATTGTCAAGTTACTTCTTTAGTGTTTTGTCAGCACATTTATGTTTAAAATCAACTAAGTTTAGAAACTGCAAGTCTCTTTCTTGTAATAGGCTTTGGTAAATATGTCTTGTTACTATTGAGTCATTTATTAATGATCAGAAAGTTTCTGGAACAGTAAACCCTTAGCTTAACAAGGATTGAAAATTTCACAACCAGTTTCCCACCTCATTTTGATACTTGAACAAGGATGTGTCGAAGAAAAATAGCTTTCAAATCTTAACTGCAGAATCTCTACTGGAGAACACAAATGATAATAATGTAGTTGCTACAAAGAAAAACACTCCCTTCTTCCCTGCAAGTGTTCAGTACATATTAGAAGTTTCTGGATTTTTTTTTCTGTTTAAAAGAAGTCTTCCAACTTTAACTCATTGAAAAGTAGGAAAGAAAAAGAAGTTCAAAACTGATAACATCCTTCTTCAGAAAGAGGGAAAAAATGTAGTTTAACAAAAAAGAGCAAAGTTTTAAAATAAAAAATTATGAGTGGGATTTAACAAAGGTTTCCTTTTTCTGAGCATTAAGTGATGCAAACTCATAAAAATAAATAAATCGATATCACATACAGAAAATCTTAGAATCAGAGCAGCATAAAGATGGACAGTTAAGTGGTTTTTAAATAAAGTTTAAATAAGTTTTCTGTGTTCCTTGATAATGATTTTCATTGAAACCAACATGACTGCAAAAATCACTTTGTTGCCTATAAAGCTTTCTAATTCTGAGAAATTCTTCTGCATGTCACTGGCAGGTTCATGGGGAATCAAAGATCCTACATCACCTTCGTAGGGAAGATGAGAAAGTATGGATACTTAAAACAGATTTCCATTTTGAAAACTATATTCCAGTGTCCAGGATTGTGTTTGCTTTTGAAGGATGGCGTGAGACCATAAGGGCTCCAGTGTTTCCTGTCCTGTTAGAGTATGAACTAACATTTCACCTAATCCTATTGACAGACAGACAGTATGGTTTAAAGGACATAAATATGACAGTCATTGTTTATAAATTCTGCTTCAAAAATTACCTAAGAAAGCCTGTGTAGCACATACAGCTCAGTATTTAGATTTGCAGGAAAGGCAGAAAGATTGCAGTGCTGCATGTTAGGTTACAAGGCTGTAGGCCTAATGAAAACCCTTCACAAGAAGTTCAGTGCCAAAGAAAATTAATAATGAGGTTATGAAAAGACCTGAGTGCTGGAGATAATTTCATTAAAGCCTCCTGAGGCTTCTTTTTTGACACAGAGATTCTTTATGAGAAAAGAATAACATTATCCTTTTAAAACATTCATCTCGGGCTGTGGAAAGACTAAGAAAGCAATGGGAGACATGAAGATGCTGCTGTGGCTCATCAGAATTGCATGTGGGTAGCTATTTTAGCCTCATGTGAAAGCTCTAGTTTTGAAGTCTTCATTAATCAGTAATAGCAGGATGAAATAGAAAACTAGAAAATCATGTGGTTGGAAAGTATAAAGATGTAATCATGAACCTTATGGTCACCTTTTTTAATAGGCATTTTCCATTTATCTACTCTCATATTCTTTGCAAATTCTTGTGAATGGATATGTGCTCATCCACAAGGTTGTTACTATGTCGTCTTTCTGATTTTTCTAGAAGTCAGTGCTTAATCCCAGTGTGCACAGAATTTGCCCAAAAGGGAAGTAGAGTAATTTAAAGCCATGCGGTAGAAGGGATGTATACCGAAGGCCAGAAAGAATTCAGAAAGCAGTCCCTCAGCTTTCTGAGTATATTTGTAACATATTGAGGCAGAAGTATTCATTTCAGATTACATATATAATTAAGTTTTGGTGTACCTTTTTTATGACCATGCACATGTAACTTATCATGAAGATATTATGGAGATATGTATTTATTGCAACAGTGGCAAGTTAAGGAGCAAAGATCATAACAAACAATAAAGTATCAGTGATACCTGATGTGTCCTTGATATTAGACATAAATGAAGAAATATAAGGCATAAATATGTATAGCTATAGGTGTGTTTTGGTATAAAAGTGTTACAAAACTGAAGTCTAAAACCACAGCATTTTCACTTCTTTTTCCTCTTTTTTTTTTTTTTTAATAGAAATAAGGAATGGAAATTTGAAAGCCATTTTAGGGCTGTTTTTCAGTTTGTCTCGGTACAAACAGCAGCAACATCATCAGCAACAGTACTACCAATCTTTGGTGGAGCTACAACAGCAAGTCCCTTCACCTCCAGCTGAAATCAGCCAGTCAAAAACACACCAAGATATGCACTCGAGGTACGTTAAAAAGTAAATCTTCTCATGTGTACAAGCTTTTTATTTGTCTGTTCAAAAAGGACAAAATTTTGTGGAAATAATTAGGCCACGTGAAGACTTAAAAGACTGGGGGTTTTTTTTAGCTATTAATGCAATGGATGCATGAAAACAATATCTTAAGTGTTTATTTGGTATTAAGCTTGAATTTCTTGGGAGTAAAGCTAGAGTGAGAACAGAGAACATTCCGAACTAAATTTAGTTAAAATTTTAATTAATTTTAAAGCATTCTTGCCCTTTATCATTGATTCTACTGTCGTTTGCACATTAGGAGAGTGTTAGCACACCCCGAGGTTAGTACGCTGGTTATCATGTTGTCACATACCTAGTTCCAAATCTAAATGAACAGCTTCAAATTATTAGCAAAAAGACACAGAGAAAAGGCATGATTAATACTTTTATTTGTTGTAAACTCTTTTCATCCCCACACGTTCTGATTTTGAGTGCCTAATTCTATTTGAAAAGTTTTTGAAAGGGAGAAGAAATGGCCTTAATCTAGTTTCTTTTAAGTGGTCAGTTTATGATTAATTTTAGGAAAGCAAAGCACTCAGCAGAATCCATAATTGCTGAATTACATTACATTCAGACTGAAGCTAAAACATATTTTGAGAAGGTAGTTGCTTACTGGCCATGATGAAAGAATCAGTTTAAAAAACACAAATATCGATTTAAATGAAAAGACTATTAGCAATGTATACTAATTTAATGAAGAGCTGTGTATACTGCTGTGTTGGGTTTAATACATGTTTGAATTATTATTTGCTTCTTTAAAATTTTTTGCATAGTTAGTTAACAACTGTATGTATAGAATGTGGTAAATCAATGATCTAGGATGGATTAAAAGTATCAGACTACAATAATGTAATTTTGGTTCTTGAGTCCATTCATATATAAATTACCGTTTCATGTTTATAATAAACATGTTTCTTCAGTTGAGAAAACATTTCAGCCTATTAGAAATCTTTCTCTTGAAACTGGGAATGTTGTAAAAATATGCTTGTAGGAAAATGTTGCTGGTGGCATTTTAGTTATCTCATTTCATACAAAACTTAAGATACACTTGTGTTTGCCCTGGACATTACAATGTGGAATGCATGAGTTTTTTTCTCTGCTACTGAAAATCTATGCCTTTGAATGCTTTCTCTGTGAAGTTTACTATTAACATGTAATCTAGGGAATTACGCTGTGATAGATGAAGAATCTGACCACTCAACATTTTCTGAAATTGAATTTCTGCTTTCTGAAAGATATTTAATACCACATAAGAGGCAACAACATCTTGTTATTCAGAAATTATTTTCCTATCGGAAGTTATTTTGAATGTAGGTCTACAAGTGTTCAGTGCTTTAATCAATTCAATTAAGAGCTTAGCCAGTTTCATGTAAATACCTTTGGTTATTGGGTTTTGTTTATAATTCAGTAAAACATTTCCTGCTTTTCTAATTTACCCATGGTGAATTTTCAATAAAAATATTGTGACCACGTACCATCATCCCTATGGCAAGGAACTCCATTTGTCCAAAGCTTGAAGCAAAGCAGTTGTTTACTATTTGTAAGCAATGACACACTACTCCTTTGTCTACTCAGGAATCGGAGGCAAAGAGGGAATGAAGTTTTTATAAAGCTTTCTTTTCATTATAATTCCCAAAGATCTTGTGATCCATCAGTGCCTTTTTCTTGTCTTCTATTTTGCTATGTTAAATATACTTCATTGGGAGGAAAAGCAATCATTCTCTATCCAGGACCCCAGCATTCATGCCTTTGTAAACTGACATCTAAGGCTGGTTTAACAAATTTCCTACTTCCATCAGTGTGCTTTAGACTGTCTACAGTTAAGGCCAGGAGTTTAAAATAATTTCATTCTTTGATTAAATTTGTATTTGTAGCTATGTTTCAGCTGCAAAATATTTCTATGTAAAAAATTATTATAGTGAGATTGGCACCACCTTTCTTATTTCCCTTTTTTAAACTCAAAGCAAGAATTTTTCTGTTTGCTTTCACATAAACAGAAGTTCAATATCTGTCATCATATTTGGGTATGACCTGAGAGAATATGATTTTCTCTACCCATTTATTTTTCAGTAAAGTCTTTCAGGATAAAGGTTCTTACTTCTAAAAGCTTTCATCTGTATGAATCATTTCTATCTTCTGCTACAAATACATCTAGTATTCTGAGCTGCTAGAAAAAAGAGGAACTCCAGGACTTAAAAAGCAACAGAAATATAGATTATTTTTTTAAATTAATTGGCTTGTTAATTTGCCACTGTTTTGAAATAATATTAAGAAATAAGCATAAATTATATCTCCTTGTAAGAAGAATTATTACATTTGAAAAACAGGTTTTCCACAAATAGATAGGCATATACAAGTACACATTGAGAAGAACTTTCTGTGGTGGACTTAGCAACCTTTCTTTTCATAGCAGTCATTTAATTTAATTAAATTACTTTTTTTTCCCCATCAAAAATATTTAAAATTATTTCCCAAACAGCTTTTTAGTTTTAAGCTGTTAATGTGTAAATAAAAGCTTCTGTTGAGAAAGAAGCTAAAATATGAAATTAAAAAAGAAAAGATGCCTTTGATGGTATTCATCTTGCCTCTTACCTGCCTTGTGCTGAAATGCGGACAGTTAGATTACATGACTCCCAAGACAGATTTCTATGATACGATTTGTTTCATGGCAACTGTGTCTCAGCATTAATTACTGAAGTAACCAACATGACTTACTATTTACAGGGCAGGAGTTCATGATTTAGAATGTCTTAAGGAACTCATATGTCTGGTCCATAAGACACTTGAGACCTTTAGGTATTTTTGCAAAAATTAGTTTCTTACAGACACTTGAACCTTTTTCTTTCATTGAACAAAGAGTAGTGAAAAATGCTAACATATACGTTGTGTAATAATATCACATTCTTACCTTTTTCCAAGCAAAATTATTAACTCAATAGATAACCTAACTACTATTAATAATAGAGTAATTCTAATTTTTTTAAGTAGCAGTGATAAAACCAACAGTTTTATCCTTCCATAGTGGATGTTATTCTTTAAGGCAATTTATTATTACATGGTTATTGTGCAGCTATGCCTTTTTCTTTATTAGCCTGTTGAAGTTCTAAATATGCTTTTAGAAATTCTTAATACTTTCTGTTTTCTAACATTCGGCATGGAGAAACCTTAAGGCAGCAAATTATTCATGGTGTGTATGTTGGAAAAATTATTTGGCAAATGCACGTAACAGAGATTATTTTCCATTAATTAGATCTGTGGTCCTTTATTACCTAGAAATAGTTACCTAAGGTTTTTGAGAGGAACAAGAAAAATAATGTAATTATTATGGTAGAAGCCAGATAATGAATGTAGTAGCAAACACCTGAATGGTACATTTATCTTTCTTCAGTAACAGCAAAAGTCTTCAAACATAATTTGGGTAAATTTTCAAGTGTTTTGTGAACATCATCTTCTGATACTTATGGGTATTTTATTTTACTTGAAGACTCATATATTTCTACGGTGTTAGACACCTGAGAAAAGTAAGATTGCTTTTTGAGGCACTTTATACATTTAAGTGCATTTGATATGTATGTGTTTGTATGTGTGCCGACATACAAGCAAAGCCAAATAGACTACTTTTAAAAAATGTTCTGTAGGCAATCACATTTAATGTTGTAATTTAGGTCTTTGAAACTATGTCTTAATAATTGCAGTTACTTTAGGTTAGATTATTCCATGAGAAAAGTTATCTTCTTTGTTGCTTCCAGCTAAGGTATGGTAAGCATACTGCTTAATTTCAACTTGATTTCCTAGGAGGAAAAAAGCCATTGTGTGTGCCTTATTAAACAAGTATGAAAAGGTTATACTCTCCACTCTTTCAGAGAGAAATATGAGTTAGACATGTGAGAGGGCAGTACCTCTGAGATCTCATATGGAAGATGGTCAGGATACAGAAGTGGTAGCACCCAGGCCCTGCTGAAGACAAAGGAAGTTTTGTCTTTGTATGTATAGGGCTAGTGTCTCACGCTTCTAATTTAAGAGTGGTTCTGATGATGATGATGATGGTACTCTTGTCCTGATTTCCAGGTTATTGTCTGGGTCCCACTGTGATCATTACTAAGTCTGAACCACATGTCACTGAAGCCAGCTTACTTTGGTATCAACCTCAATGGGAGAGTGTTTGGGCACTTTAGAATCATAGAATCACTGGGTTGGAAAAGCCCTTAGAGATCATCCAGTCCAACCGTATCTGTCCACCACTAAACCATATCTCTCAGCACCTCATCCACCCGTCTCTTAAACACATCCAGGGATGGGGACTCCACCACCTCCCTGGGCAGCCTGTTCCAGTGCGTGATAACCCTTTCAGTGAAGAACTTCTTCCTTACGTCCAATCTAAAACTCCCCTGGCGCAGCTTGAGACCATTCCCCCTCGTCCGATCATCTGTCATTAGGGAGAAGAGACCAACACTCACTTCTCCACAACCTCCTTTCAGGTAGTTGTAGGCAGTCAACAAAAACTTTGTCAACAAAAGCTGAAACAGGCAGAAAAAAATTATAGTAGAACTCTAGAGCTTTCATAGCTGGGTTGTTTTCATATGGTAAACAAACAGAAGCCCCAGGGGAAGGTAATAATCAGAATATCACAAGACTGACAGAATTAGGTTTGTGCAGAAATGGGGAATTCAGGAGACTAATCTAGGAGGCTACTTGCCCTGGGATGACTAGGTAATCAGTGTCTCTGACAGGAGACAACACAGATCACGAGTGTAATTAAACTGGTTTCTGGAGAAGCCTCTCTCCCTTGATTGTAAAGTTTGCATAGGAGGGTAATGAATTTTCTACAGCAGGCTCCTAACAAAGTTATCTAATGTTGGTCAGTGTGGCAATACTTTAGCATTGCTAATCTCATGTAATCTTTCACCAAGATCAGAACTGTGAAAATTGCACAGGCAGAAGGGAAGCAAGAT